TGTCATTGAGTACTTGAAATTACACAAAGAAAAAGTATTTTCTAAATTCAAATTTTTTTTGTTCTTTGTTTCTAGTGAATTGAACTTGGAATGCCTTTCCTGGAAACCAGTTCAAAAGATTCCACCAATGTGAAACAGACTTTCATGGCCATTACTGCTTCCATCAAAGGTACTCAATGTTTTCATTTTTTCTTTTTTATTAAAAACCAAAATGCTCTCATTACATATATTGAAATAAATAAAAATAAAAAAAATTTAGTTTTATGCATTTACAATAAACAAAAAATATTTAAATATAAATAAATATTTCATTTTTATTATTGAATTCCATTCCGCCCAACTAAAATTTCACATTCTGATTTCAATTTCAATTCCAATCTTGAATTTACATATCTACATTAGTAGTATTCCAATCATAACAATTTTCCAATATTTAATTTACTTATTTACCACCCTTAAATTCACATGTAAACCACAAGTGAATCGCATAAGAGTTACATGTGCTTTATATGTAATTTACATATGAATCACATGTAATTCACAAGTACATCACAAGTGATTCACACATGAATTACATGTGATTCACATGTAAATCACATGTAATTCACATGTAAATCACAAGTGAATCGCATATAGTTACATGTGATTCATATGTAATTTACATATGAATCACATGTAAATCACAAGTGAATCACATATGAGTTACATGTGATTCATATGTAATTTACATATGAATCACATGTAATTCAAAAGTAAATCACAAGTGATTCAGATATGAGTTATATGTGATTCACATGTAAATCACATGTGATTCACATGTAAATCACATGTAAATAAAAAATGAATCACATGAGTTGCATGTGATTCATATGTAATTTACTATGAATCATATGTAATTGACAAGTAAATCAAAAGTGATTCACATATGAATTACATTTCAATTCACATGTAAATCACATGTATATCACAAGTGAATCACATATGAGTTACTAATCATATGTAATTCACAAGTAAATCACAAGTGATTCACATATGAATTACATATGTGATTCACATGTAATTTACATATGAATCACATGTAATTCACAAGTGAATCACATATGAATTACATGTGATTCACATATAAATCACATGTGATTTACATATAAATCACATGTAATTCACATATGAATCACATGTAATTCACAAGTGAATCACATATGAAATATGAATTAAATGTGATTCACATATAAACGACATGTGACTCACATATAAATGTAATTCACAAGTGAATCAAATATGAATTACATGTGATTCACATATAAATCACATGTGATTCACATATGAATCGCATGTGATTCACATATAAATCACATGTAATTCACATATGAATCACATGTAACTCATATGTAAGTCACGAGTGAATCCAATATGAATTACGTCTATATGCACACATGCATTTTGTGTGAGTGTTCTTCGTTTTTATTTTCTTATAAATTTCACATTTGAATCTTAAAAGATACAATCACATGTGAATATCACATCATATAATTGCATATGAATCTTACATGATGTATATATATATATATATATATATATATATATATATATATATATATATATATATATATATATATATGCATTTTTGTGAGTGTTCTTGCATTAATCATTTTTTTTATTTTCTTGTAGATTTGAAAGAATTTGTGGAAAATTTTGAAGATGTAAAAAGTGAAATTGAAGAAAAAAATATGGAAATCATGATATGAATAAATGATAACACTGTGAATCTTTGTAGTTATTTATTTATTTATTATATTTTATTTTGTATCGAATAAAATACTTGTATTATTATGTATATAGATTGATTAATAAAATTAAGATTTTTTATGATTTACTTACGAATATTATAGTATAAGAAATGTGCATATATGTATTTGAAAAAATATGCATATATGCAACTAAAACGTTGATTTTTTTTGTTAAAAAAATTAGGGTTTTTTTTTTTAAATTGGAGTTTTTTTTTTTTTTTTGCAAAAATTGCAGTTTTTTTTTAAAAAAAAATGCAGCTTTTTTTTTAAATTACAATTTTTTTTTGAAAAAATGACAGTTTTTTTTTGTAAATGCACCTTTTTTTTAAAATCAGTTATTTTAAAAGAATTGCACTTTTTTTCCAATTTTTTTAAATTAATGTTTTCTGAAAAAATTAAAAATCTCCATTAAAAAAATCAAAAATTACTTTTTAAAAAAAATTCGAAATTTGATTTATTATGTTAATTTTGTTCAATAACACAAAATAATAAATATTACATGAGATCGGTAAGATTACGATCATGTCCTTAATGAGTTAATTTTGATCTAACGCTCCACCTTTAGTTCTCAGGTTGTCGGGAAACTATGAGTTGCCAACCGATCTCACCCTATATATATATATATATATATATATATATATATATATATATATATATATATATATATATATAGGACACAAATCATTAGCATCATCAAAGTCATAACAATAAAAAATAACTGAGACGACTTTCACCGTTTTGGATAGGTAACTGATAGTGAAACTTGGTTACTGGTTATAGTGACTACCAAGGGGATCAATATTACTACTGATATCAATACAAAGTCGTTCCAAACATATTTTGGACTCAGGACGAAAGAGGAAAAAAGGCCCTTAAAATACACAAATTTCATCAACTGTTTTTATATTAACTTAATAATTGAAAAAAAAAAATACTTATAGTAGCTTCTAAATATAACATTTTCGATCATAAAAACCCATATGTTTAAAGAAAAAAAAAAAAATACTTTTTCTAGCTTTTTGAGATGCAAAAAGTCACTAGTAATATCTTCAAAATCGATCATGTCCGACATTATATTAATAAAGTCTGTAAAATTTTTGCACCCCTTTAAAAGATGGGTCCTCGACGGCACCCCTATCGCCTACTCTCTAGGACAGCTCTGCATCAATACAACAAAATTTCACAACAATGGAAGAACTGTGAAACTTGGTTACTCGTTAGTGACATTGTCCATTTGATACTTCAGCATTTTCACAAAACATAACACAACTAAAACTCAATTACTATTTAATGAAAGTGTTACAACAAATTAACCTGACATTTCATATGTCCGCATTGGCGCCATGACAGGCACAAGTACAAAATTTCATAACAACGGAAGGAAAAAAGACCAGATTTCACTACCAGAAGGTCCTGAACACTCCCATATTGACACACTCGTTCTTCAAGCAGGTCTACACTTTCTTTGCTTTAATCCGTAGTTTTTTCCCCATGTAATTCCAACACCTCCATAGGCTTTTCGATCAAACAATTATGTATACACTCACATCGCAATTTACTTCCATTGTTTTATTTTTTCTTCTTCTAATTCTTCAGCCGGTGAATCCCAATCTTCATAGCTTCTGAACAGGCCCATATAGAACCGGAAAAAACACGAACTGAGTCTTATTTGGCAAGAAAATTGTAAAAAAGGGATGTTTTGTAAATTTCAGTTAAATGCAAGGGGCAATTTTGTAAAATCTAAATGTAATGCATTCAAATGGGTTTAGGGTTTAGGGACTAAATCTGACAATATAGGCAAACTTTGTGGTCAAAGTCTAAAAGAGTTTTGTGGCCAAAGTATAAAATTTTTGTGGCTAAAGTCTAAAACCCTAAAACTATGTTGGTCTTCTAATTTGAAGGGGTAGATATGTTATTTTACAAAGTAAAAGGAAAAAGACATTCGACAAAGTAAGAGGTGAAAAGTGTGAATGTACAAAAATTTAGGGATCAAATCTGCCAATATAAGAAAGCTTTATGACCAAATTATTAAATAAAATTTTTTTATAGCCAAATCGTAAAATAACAAAATTTTGTGGCTAAAATATAAAATCTAAAGGCTAAAACTATACTTCATGGCCGTAAAATAACAAAAAAGTCTAACACTATAAATTAAACTATACGAAGATAATTTGTAGCCATATAGCACCGGTTGTAGAAAGAGCCACGTTGACTTTTCTCTGTCGTCGTCTCCCTCCATTTCCGTTGACTCGCTGTTTCCCTGCCCGCTACCGCCGTTGACTCTACTTCTTTACTCTTCATCTTTCTCGGCCTCCTCGCCGGAGGTTAGTCCTCTATATATCTTCACCGCTGCTGGTTTATTTGTCGTTCTGTAGGCAGGTGATTATGATTTGTTCGTTTAATAACATATCATTTGAAACAAGCCCATTAATGATACTCGAAGTCTTTAGATCTATGCTGATATATATATTAGATCATGTGATTTGTTCATGCTAATTCTGGAGACCATGTGAAGAAACCTATTCTTTCATTTTTTGTGTATTTAGATATTTTAATTGTTTTTCGATATTTAGTGAAAGCTTGAGATTGCCTGTATGTTTTGCAATTCCTTACATGGGAGGTAATAGTGGATCTTGTATTTGCTTTGAGAATGGCATTTGGTGTTGATTAATTTGTTTGAGGTTTACTTATTTGACTTTTAGACAATAGTAGGGATATTTATGTGGGTTAATCAAATCAAGATAGAGACATTTTTGGTTAATAGAATAAATTGGTTCAATATTTTCTTGCACCAAACATAGCAGGAAAAAAATGTTAACCAATTTAATTAAGTGAGTAAGTAGGGCTTTTTAAATAACTCCCATGGGAATGTAATGGTTATTCTGTATCAATGCTTAGCTATATATATGTTGGTTAAAGGATTCAATTTTTTTTTTCTTCAAATAATTGCTACTGTAACGAGGCTGCTGTTGCAACGATTTTATCAGCCTGTTTCTGCTTGATATAAGAAAACACAGTAGCTACTCTTTGTGTTTCAAACACATCAGCAACTAGCAGCTTCTGTTGTCTTCCTTTTCCAGTGTTTAGATGCACATTCTTAATCCTCATATGTCTCTTGCACACAAAACAACCGATGTTAGCACTAATTGAGCTATGGAATGACATTTGAACAGAAAAATCAAATCAAGGGTTAAAACACACAAATATATATGTATGCATTATGTAGCTCTAAAATCAACTCGGAATACGAAGTTTGGTGATAAAATATGGCATATTAATAAAATTAGAGTTCATATTAATAATTTGGGTTTTATGTAGAGGCATAATGTATGGGATCCTGACATTGAATAACAAGTGAGGAAAGCCGGTGAAACCAACTTTCATAACGGATAATGTGTGGAGTATTTTAAGAGCTTACTGATAATGGTTGTTCTCTCTGAACTTGTGAATTTCAAAATCTCAGAAGGATCTTCATCTTCTTCATCAACTCATGTTCATAGTTCATCAACTCATCATCAAAGATATGACGTATTTTTAAGTTTTAATGGTGTTGACACTAGTCATAGTTTCACTAATAACCTTCATAAGGCCCTCATTGATGCCAATATCAGTACCTTCTTGGATGATGAAGAGATTGAAACAGGGGAAGATCTTAAACCTGAACTGGAGACTGCAATTGAGGCATCTCAGGCTTCTATTATCGTGTTGTCTAAAAATTATGCTTCTTCAACATGGTGTCTGGATGAATTAGTGTTGATCCTTGAGCAGCGTATGACATCCAACCATATTGTTATCCCAATATTCTATCATGTGGAGCCCACACATGTTAGGAAGCAACAAAGTAGCTTTGGAGATGCAATGGCTAAGCATAAACAGACAATGGAAGCAGAGACAGATGCAAATAAAAAAAGTCAATGGGCTGAAAAGATGGACCAATGGAATAAAGCGCTTACAGCAGTTGCTAATTTAAAAGGAACTGACGTAAAAGGAAGGTATCCACTTTCTTACCCATATTTCCATAATCCTTCAATTTTGTTTGATCAACGCATGGAAGTAAATATCATATTCTCGCCATTTATTTCATTAAGTTTCTTAGTATAATCGAAGAGGCATGTATTTCATGTATTAGGATAAAGAAGATGCAGAAAACTGAATGTATGTTAATCTGATCTCAGAAATCAGTTCATACAGATAGAATAACCATTCTGATAATTTTTACACATTTGTTACGCATTTAATATTTTATCATAGGTTAGTCCATACAGATAAACCATTTCATTTATTTTAATATGCTTATTCTAAAAACAAATTTGATGTGTTTGCTATGCATGACCACCTTCAAACATAGCATGTTCTATGATAAATAACTTCTCTTACCCCGTGAGTGTCTTAAAATAAAACATAACATATAACTGGCACTTTTTTTCAGACGCACAACATTTATAGTGAAGTTAGGTCTTAGGTGGCACATTAGTGAAATCTTGTATTGCATCGGTAGCTTTGGTCTTATCATACATAAATATTTATAACCTTAGACATTAGATGCTTATATGGTTAGAAATGCAAATTCAATATGGTTTTGATGTGAAGAACCTAATTAAAAATAATAGCTATAATAGATTTTGATTTTGATATTTGGATAAATTAAATCTACATATCTCGTTTGTTAGTTTTGTGGATTATGTTTTGAAGTTCTTATTAAGTATTGTTTCAGGGCTGAGAGAGAGTTTATTGAAGAAATTGTGAAAGACATCTACCGTCGATTACATGTACCTTTAAGGACTGCTCAACCGTTCCTTATTGGGATGGACAATCATATTAACTTTTTCACGTCATGGTTGAAAGATGGATCCTCACATACAGCAGACATACTCACTATTTTGGGTATTGGCGGGATCGGGAAGACATCTTTAGCCAAATATGTCTATGGGTTGCATTGTCGTGACTTCCCCACAAGTAGCTATATTGAAGATATCAGTAGGATATGTGTTGGAAAGTTTAACGGGTTGCTTGATTTACAAAAACAAATGTGCAATGACCTTTTAAAAACAAGTTCAATGCAAATTCATGATGTTTCAATATACACCTCAAAGATAGAAAATTTGTTAGCCCGTAAAAGGGTATTTCTAGTTCTTGATGATATTGATAGTCTTGATCAGTTGGATGCATTACTTGGAAGCAAAGGTTTTCATCCTGGAAGCAAAATCATTATTACAACAAAGGACACATGGTTGACAGAGAGTTGTGCACTATTTAAAACAAAAATTAAACCCAAGCATGCAAAACACTTCCTTGAAGGCTTAAATTGGATTGAGTCAAGACATCTTTTATGTTTTCATGCATTCATGTGCAACTATCCCAATGGAGGATATGAAGAGGTGTCAGATAAGCTTGTTAAGTATTGTCAAGGACATCCTTTGGCTCTTGAAGTTCTAGGAAAATCTCTACGTAATCGAGATATAGCTTATTGGGAAGGGTGCATAGAAGGGCTAAAGAAAGAATCTGGTTCTCATATAAATAATGTCTTGAGAATGAGTTTTGATTCGTTGCCATATAACAATGATAAGGAGTTGTTTAAGCATATTGCTTGTTTTTTTGTTGGAATAGATAGAGATATTGCTGAAACAATATTAAATGCATGTGACATAAAAACAAGAGCTGGAATTACGAATCTCATTGACAGATTCCTTCTTAGTATCGGATGGAATAATGAATTGAAGATGCATCAGTTGGTTCAAGAGATGGGAAGATTCGTAGTACGTCAAGAATCACTTGACAAGCCATGGAAGCGAAGTCGATTATGGTGTCATAAAGAGTCCTTCAGTGTGTTGAAGGAAAAAAAGGTAAAAGGCCATGTATGTTTGTAGTAGTGTGCACCTCCAAAATATGTTGTATTGTCTAATTTTTTTATTTGCATTCTGTTTTTTCTTAGGGTAAGGGAAATCTTGTAGGCCTAGTTCTTGACATGCGCATGCTTGAGAAAGAGAATTTAGGTGTATTAGTTGAGCTGAAAACAGATGCATTAAGTAAGATGCTTAGTCTGATGCTACTACAACTGAATTATGTGCATATGAATGGGTCTTATGGGAACTTTCCTAAGGAATTAAGAGGATTGTGCATGCATGGGTTTCGTTTAAAGTCTATACCTGCAGACTTACCTATGGAGAATCTTGTTGCTCTCGATATGTCATATAGCAACATTGAATTATTTGTCGGTTCTAATAGTAATCCACACCGAGATGAGAAGAGACAAAAGGTATCTTATCTACATTTATTTATTTTTCCATGTTGAGTTGATAAAATTCACTACTATTCTAAATTATTTCCCTTTCTGTAGTTGGATGGATCATGCTTAAAAGAAAAAAGGTTGCTTAGGTCATTGAAGATTCTTAATTTAAGTTTCTGTGAACAACTACGAAGTCTTGGTGACTTTGACCAACTCCCTGCACTTGAGACATTAATACTTAGTAATTGCATTGGTTTGCTTGAGGTTTGTGAATCAATTGAACAATGTGTTGAACTGGTTCTCATCGATCTAAGCTACTGCAACAAGCTTGCAAAACTTCCAAGAAGTATACACATGTTAAAGAAGGTTAGAACAATGTTGTTAGATGGTTGTAATTTCGGTGAATCTCGAATCGTGAATAAGGATATAGAGTCACTAGAAATGTACAAGGCTAACAACATTGGCATAAACACAATAACCTCTTTCTCCTCCTTTTCGGGTACTATACCAAATGATTTGAAGTCCTTCACAATTTCATTACCGAGCTCTTTACTAAGGTTGTCACTTGCAAACAATAAGTTGTCTGCTGAATCTTTTCCCATGGACTTCAAATGCCTTTCGATGTTGAAGGAATTATATCTAGATGGAAATCCGATCTCTTCCATGCCGGATTGTTTGAGAACCCTCCCTAGTCTTGAGATACTTGGTATGAGGAACTGTGATTTATTGAAGTCGGTTGTGTGTCCTCCACGTACACTAAAAAAGTTGTGGCTCAATTCTCGTCACGAGTATGATGAAACTGTCATAGAAAAAGTTGTATTTGATCCAGAAATGTCCCCACTCCGGTTATCATCAAATTCAATAGATTTTGTCCCTTGGTCGTATGAAATTGAAGGAATGCTCAAAATCCAACCAATGGTGAGTGTTGAGGAAAAGGTAGTATGTAGTTTGGGCTGGACTGACTTAGATTTCTATAACAAAAGGCGCATAGGGACTAATTCTTGGGAATCGAAAATCCAGGTTTTGTCTAGTTAACCTATTTGTCTTTATTTGAATGTGCATAATATAACTATTATGGTGGTTAATTTATGTGGTTGTATTGGCAGATGATGTATGAATTTGGAATATTCAGCACAATGTATGGGGTGGAGGAGATGCCGAGTTGGATTAGGCATAGAAGCTTGGGGCCATCAATATCATTTATCATCCCATCAACTCCAAACAAGTTTAGAGGACTCAACTTCTGCTATGTGCAGATGTTGCGATTTCTGGATGATCAAGCCCCTCCTTCACCAATTATCACAATTAGTAATATAACAAAGGATCACACATGGATATACGAACGTTTTATGGACAGATATTGTATAAATCGAAAGTGTTGGCTGGTGCTAAGTCATTGGATGTTTGGAATAAATGAGATGGAAGGTGGTGACCATGTTACTATCACTGTTACTGTTACAGATCCGTATGATGAACGTATAAAGGAGTGCGGGGTGAGTCTTGTGTATGATGATGGAGAGAAGATGGATGAAGAAGAAGATGCGTTGGGTTATTACAAGTCATGGAATCACATAATTGGTGGAGATCTCTCTCCTTTTCAAACAACAACAGGAGAATGGATCCTACACAACAAGCGGTTTTTTGAGTATGGCACTGATCTGTTCCCATATCATCGTAAATTTGTTGGAGTGGGCGCCAGCTATCAAGGTAGATGTCATTTGTGCTAAATATGTAAATGTAGTGCCTTATGTATAGTGACATGACACATAACTCAACTTCTTAAAATAGATGGATCATAATTGATCATACAACCCAAATCCACCTGTTTTATTTGACCTCCGAAATAAGAGTGTATTTTAAATGAGCGTGACCCAGATGCATGATGGGTCGTCCCAAGTATTGATCCATCTAATGGGTCGATTTGCTATGACATTTGATTAAGTCTTTTGATGGATCACATTAATATATTGGGACCATAACTTTTCTGAGTGGATGTGTGTGAATAATATAATAATTTCATATTACTTTTTGCCTGTGTTTTCAGTACAAGAGACAGAGTGGTTTAGAGCTTTATCCCGATGGAAACCAACATAATTGATCACGGACGTGAGGTATACTTTTTGACACCCATATCTTTCTCTCATCACATGAATAGAAGGCATACAAATCCAAATATATTATCTATCATATCTTGATTGGTCTAGGATGTAACAAAATTAAAAGGACTTCTAACCTTGCAATGGAGGATTGAAAATGGAATATATGATTAAAACGTAGTTGAGGCTCATATCATGGGGCATGAAATTTGTCTAATGCTTTGATGCAAACGAAAACCGAAAGCTTTTTATTTATTTATTTCACGAAGCTAACTTTCGAGAGGTGAGTTCTCTTCCAATTGGAATTACAAATTTATAGTGAGAAAAAGAATGATACTCTCTTGTCTCTTCCTAACTTCCTCACTTAATACTTGACTAAGCCTTCATTCCTCAACTCAATTAATAACAGAAATTCCCTCCAACAGACTTGACATTTGAGGGACTGATTTTATGTAATTGACTTTGACTTCTTCCTGCTTGACTTGACTTCTTGACTATCCTGTCCTTTCATATGCAAACGGTAAAGAGTAATGGAGGAGCCTTAGAGGACCCCAACTATATAAAGATTAATTATATTCTTAATTCATAAAGCATATCATAACGAGCCACTTGTATTTCTTCCATATTGTACCATTGAAATTCCTTGTACTTCAAAATGGTTGGAACCTGGGAGGATCCGTAAATATAAAGATTTAGATGTTATGCAATTAAGAGAGCTATGACATGTTGTATTATACAAATATTCCACCCAATTCAACCATTTTCGCCATTTCTTTTGGTTTTCCAATACAAAACATCGGCCTCTGATTTCCCATACGGTTGAGGATGATAGGCTGTGGAAAAACATAAATTTTTCCCTTGTAATTTGAAAATCTCTTCTTCCAAATGCTACTAACATTTCCATTAATCGGTATTTTTGTGCTTATTTCTTCCACCCAACCAAGCTCAATAAGTATACATTGTCCTTGTTTTATTGTCTTGAGCATGGATTATATAAACACTATGATCTTCCCAATGAAATGTCCCCTTGTAACTTCACTTATTTCACCTTTCCACATAAGTGTCAATACTTATGTTTACCAGTTCACTTGCATTCCTCCGAGTGATGCCAACCCAATGAATGCGTAATATGACTTCCGAATTTGACCAATTAAGGGGTAAAATGTTTTCTTGAATTTCAATTCCTTGAATTCATATTTTATACCCTTACAGACTCCTTGACCTCCAACTTCCTCACTTGCACCCATTGGCACATTATAACCCTCCTGCATCTTTTCAGCTAATGTTGTGGTAATGCAATTGTGGGAAGCTCAGTGTTATCAATAGCGAGCATGGCGCTCGCTATGGCGTTTTGCGAGGCGAGGCGAGGCGATCCATTGTTGCTATGGGGTCCATAGCGACTGCATAGCGACGTAGCGAGCTGTTTGATTTTTTTTTTTTTTTTTTTAAATATGGTATAAATAGACCCGTATTAGGGTTTTTAGTTGGCTAAGTCAAAGAAGCATCAAATACTCCAATAGTCTTTGGCATAGTTTAAAAAAACAGGAGAAACTTACACCTTAAGAGAGAAGACTGTTGAATCACGTAATTGTTGAATGTGTTGTATTCGTGAGAGAGAAGACTTGAAGACTTGAAGTCTTGAAGTCTTTAAGCTAACGAGAGAGAAGTCTTGAAGTCTTGAAGACTTGAGGTAGGATAGGGATTGGGCGATAGGGTTTTTAATTTAATACTTGAAGACCTGAAGTCTTTAATCCAACGTGGGTTTGGTTTATCTAAGAGGAGACAACAAAAGCAGTAAAAGTATGGCCTAGTGGGCTACTAAACCAAAAGTATGGGCAGTAAAAATATGGTCTAGTGGACCAGAAGCAGTAAAAAGTATGGGCTGCTAAACAAAAACCACACCTTTATAGCTGTTAAAAGATTTTCTATTAAAGAAATAAATATTCCTTAAAGAGTCAAAAGCATGGGTGTGTATTATGTTTTTTTTAATATTCCTGAAAAGACTCTTTTGGGGTTTTTAGCTTATTTATTAGTTATAATTGCTAATGGTTTTTAGCTTATTTATTAGTTATAATTGCTAATTAGGTGAAGGTAAAAGTAGTATTAATTTTTTAATAGGTATTCTCTGAAAATGAAATAGCCGTCGCTATTTCATCGCTATCGCTATATAGCATGTAGATAGGTTGTCGCTATGACCTCGCTATCGCCATCGATAACACTGGGGAAGCTTCATCATTGATCAATACAACCACTTTTTGTTGTCCCACCATCTAGGTTCACATTTTTAGGAGTTGTGAATCCGATTACAAAATTAAGGCTTACCTCAATTTCATTTTTCTGTAGAGACATTTAATAATTCCACATTTCCTTAATCAAACACTTCTTCTCTCGTTTCTTTGACAACCACTACATTAATTTCCTTGGGTTTATAGCTATGGCCCAAAGCTTAATTTTCATCACATCAATGTTGTCTTTCAATTTGCAATTCCTTATCGGAATTACTTTTCGTAAATGTACCTTTTTATATGAATACGTTTCTTTCTTCTACTCTTGCTGCCACGGTCATAGCTTGATGAATACCTGCTGGAACTTACAATCAGACTTCAGGTCTAATTTCTGACCCCTGTGCATTGATAAATTGGCTCGGGAAAACTCCATTAGGGATTCCATTTAATAGTGCAAGAAGTGAAACAAAGTTCCTTTTTTATAAAGTAACCGTCCTTTCTTGTTTTACCTCCAAGAACAACTCACAAAGTGTTCCTTCTGTACTGTTGTTCAAAATCGACCTAAGATCAATAGTTTTAATTCTTCTGAGCTTCCAATCAGCCTTGTTTTGTTCTCTCATTGATACCAACGGGGAGCATCTCCTTCAAAAGAGATCATCAATACTTCTAGGCTTTCATCATTGGATAATCATATTGGGCATGTTGATCACCACAACTTCTTCTAGACAGGGCAGTCCAAATGTATATGGGGCCCGGGGCAAAAAGAAAAAAATGGCCCATTAAAGACAAATATAATAAAAATTCAAAAAAATATCATTTATTTTTTATTATAGACGTGTTCAATTAGTAATAACAAGCAATCCAAATTGTTTATCTTTTGAGCTAATTTGAGTTTGAACCAATTTTAGGCCTTAACAATCATTTAGGCAATAATTTTTTTTTATAAATATATACACTATATAGCCTAGAAAATTTGGGCCCCCCGGAGACGTGGGCCCTGGGCGGTCGCCCGGGTTGCCCACCGTCTGGACCGGCCCTGCTTCTAGACTGCACTGATGCCATTCCACCTTCCAATTGCTACAAATCTCTTTTCCATGGCTCTAATTTGATCAGCTTGAGGCTTGCCTCTTTTCCATAAAAAACTTGATCGGACACTACTTTGATGCAAACAAGAACCAAATCTTTGTTTCCGTTCACTAAGCTCACTAGGGGTGAGTTCTCTCCCAATTGGATTACAAATTCATACACAGAAAATGAATCGAGTATGATACAAATCGCCGGTGCCGAAAATGTTCCGCGAGTTGCAAAGTTTCCTTAGTCTAGCCGGTTATTATCGTAAATTTGTGCAGGGGCACAAAAAATTTCTAAACCGTTAATTGATTTGCTTAAAAAGATTAGTTCGGTCGGAATGATGAAGCCGATGGCGCATTTTGGCGGTTGTAGGAAACTATTACCTGTGTTCCTGTGTTGGCTTTTCCTAAATTTTTCAAAAGATCTCACCATCGAGACGGATGCCTTAGGTTACAAAGTAGGGACAGTTTTAATGCAAGAGGGACGACATGTAACATTTTTCAGTCAGGTATTGGGAAACCATGCGTAGCGGAAGTCAGTTTGTAAGAGGGAACTTATGGCGATCGTTTTATCTGTACAAAAATGGCGCCCTTACTTTGTGCCATTTTAAGGTGATTGCGGATCAAAAGTGCTTTAAAGTACTTATTAGAACAAAGGGTGGTTGCTGGTGAGCATAAAAAATGGATCCTTAAATTATGAGGTTATGGTTTTGAAATCCTATACAAGCCTCGTAAGGAGAATGACACAGCTAATGCTCTATAGCAAAGGGGGGAAGGGTTATCACTGGCAAAACTAACCATCACCCATGTCAATAATCCAGAGGAGTTATTGCGGGAATTGAAAGCGGAACCAGGGATCATAACGATAGTTGCCAAGGTGGAGGCTGGAGACGAGCACAAGCAGTGTTGTCAATAGCGATCATAGTGATCGCTATAGCGAATAGCGAGGGGATGCGACGATATGTCGCTATGTGGTCTGTAGCGAGGAAATAGCGACGTAGCGATGTTTTTTTCTGAATTGCAAAATTGATAGTTGAAACACGCTTTTAGCGATCGGCATAGGTCCAATTCGTGATTGGGTTCGCCAATTTGGCATTTGGGATCTCGAATTTGGAGGATCAATCGCCGACTTGGATATTGGCGGGAAACGCTATCTGGTACGACAGACGATCCCATTCCATGGCAACGTGTTTTTACCGAATGGAATTGCATCAATTTGCAATTGGGATCGTCAATTTGGATTTTGGAACACTGAATTGGAGATAGACGGGAAATTGATTGCCGACTGAAAAATTGACCACCGACTGAAAAATTCACCACCTACCTACAAATTCCAGTCTTATGCTTTTGACGCTTCGATTACCTGGTACTTTAAAGGATTCAAGTGACATTCCTATTATCCTATATTTTATTCCATGTATTCTATAATTCCTTCTAGTATTCTATTCTGCGTATTCTACACTTCGTTCTGTACTTTTTTTTTCTTTGAAAGTTGTTTTTGGCAAGACAAACAGTCGTCTAGAAGATATTGAAATAGAAGCACCAGAGAACTTTATTGGTCTTGGTGAGGAGAATGACGACCAAAGACAATCAGGTGCATTAGGAAGCCAAAGAAGTTAATAGAAGGATGCTGGTAGCCTAATAGGTCTCTTTTGGAAGAAATGATTGTTAGGTT